TGACTGTTGGTGGGTCACCTGTGGATGCAGAGGCCTGATGGGCTTCGCGAACGTGTTGAGTCAATCCGGCTGGACTCAGGAAGCATGCTTGACAGGTGGTGCATTTGCGCAAGGTCGATCGAACAGAAGCGGGCGGTGGTTCAATGCTCAAATCCTGCACTGTTGTGGTCGGTGAGTCTGTGCGGACGCGTTTGGAGGCCGGCTCGGTGCTGGGCGGCTGAAGGTCATCATCTGCCTGGCCGGTGGATACGGTTGGGGGCCTTTTCTGGTGGCATGACTGGGTATTGACCGGGGTCAGGATGTGCCCAGAAATGGCTGCCACTTGGTACATGACCGCACAGGTGTGTCTCTGGACATTAAGGCTCTTACACTAGCACATAGGGCATTGTCCTTTGCCTTGGACTAGGTTCGAGTGTCCTGCAACTGAGTCATATTGCTGTCTGGCAGGACCTACGAGTTCTGGGTGTGTGTCGGTGTAATGACGGGTCATAGCCCGAGCATGGATGACTATGTTGCAAAATGCACAGCGTGAGGCCAGTTCGGCGCAAAGTGCGCCATCTAGCATCAATCCCATGAATGAGCGGTGGCGGATGTGCGTACGTAGTTCATCTCGAGAGGCAATGGGCAGTACACTGGCCTGCAGAGCATTGAAGTCGTGACACGCCCTCTTGTTGATGTGGTCATGAAGGGCATACAGGGTTCCAAAACATGTTTACAGTGTGCACAAACAGGTCTACCATCATAAGCATCTCTAAGCGGTGCATAGAGGTCTTCCGGCAGGCAAGGGACATGATGCTGTTGTCTCAGGTGTCCTTTAAGCGTACCGGACTGATTGAAGTGTCGATGGGATTCTGGGCAAGCCAAGGAGACCTGAGCAGGCAGAGGTGTCTGTGGGGTGTATTCATGAACGGCGTGCAAACATCTGGATTGGGCTGTGTGGGATCTGCCATGGTCTGGCAGTCAAGTGCACATGAGATCGTGTCATACGGCGGTAGTGCACACTAATCATGCTTACGATTCTTTTACAACACTGGTGAGTCATGCTCATTTCATGTATACCATATTGGACGGTTGGCGCGACACATTGAGCATAGAGTCGGAATCTGATGCTTTGTGGGATTGTCCGTGCCTGGAGCCACCGCTTCAACGTTGTGAAACACAGTTGTGCTGCACGAATGCGTCTGTTGGTTGCGTCTGATTCCCACGCCCTGTACCCAATGATCACACCGAGGTAAGCCGTTTTCGCAACAATCGGCAGACGGTATGGCAAACCTGGGATCATCAGTTGCGGGCCATGTTTAGTCCGAGGGATCCAGCGGCGAGTAAACTGTGCGACCCCTTTCCAAGCTCGAAACAAGACAAAGCTTTTGGCGGCATTGATCCGAAAGCCATAGGCATTGAAAGTATGGAGAATGTGGGAGAGGTCGCTAAGGGCAGTGTGACCATCGGCCACACTCGTCAGGTGAACATCGTCTGCATAGATTATGGCATGGTCGTGAAGCCATGTATGGGAGTATCTATGGAGCAAATCAAACAGGATGAGGTGCGTGCAAAGGGACCATAACATGGGAGCATCAGTGGAGCCCTGTTTGATGCCTCTGGTTGCAGTGATGTTACCTACAAGAGTCTTGTATGGGATGTAGTACGGATGTGGTGCAAGCCAAGTCTCAATCATACTTAGAAAATCAGGAGGGAGTGCAATGGTTCGTAGCGCCAGCAGAACGATGTCCCTACGTACTGAGTCGAAAGCTTTTTCCATGTCCAATGATACTTGCAACCCTCCAAACAGACCCTGTGGGGCTCGGAGAAGACATTCAGTTGTGCCCCTATGTGGCAAATACGCATACAAGGGAAGGCTACGAAGGCTGGGGTATGCATGGGCCTTGATACGCCTGACGCAACCTTGAGGATTGGACGCTGAAGACAAATGGGTCTTAACGCTGATGGTTGTGTGCTGGGTTTTCCAGGTTTGGAGATTAGGTGAAGCCATCCAGCCATCCAGCTGTCCGGTGGGCTGACGGCATCCCGGCACCAAACTCTTCTAAGGCTTGATAGATCGGTGTTGACAATTCTGCGGCAAACTGTTTCCAAATCAGAGCCGGCGTGCGCGGAGGTGCAAGTGCCTTCATGGCAGGTAGGCGGCTAAGACCCTGTTGATTATCCGCGCAAGAAAAGGGGAGAAGTTCAAGTGGGGAAAGGGGGCTCGGCTGAAAGTTCGAGTCATGAAAAAGGTTACCAAAGAATGCTTCGATTTGTTGAAGTTCTTGAGGTGGCAACATAGGTTGTCCATGTGGATCGAACAATTGGATCCGTTGCGGCTTCTGCTTCGGACACAGCTTGCGGACACGCCGGAACCAGTCAAAGGTCTGGTGGCGTAATGCCAGTTCCGCTCCTTCCTGAAGAAAGTCTTCAAGCTTCTGTTTCTTGTTCTGTCGACTGTACTTGCGTATCTGTTTGTGAAGGCTGCGGAACCGAGCCAGACACTTCCATCCTACAAAGACAGAGCTCACGGTGCAGTCACGCAGAGCCCGGGCTGTTTTGCGGGCCTGCCACATAGTGGCTGTCAAAGAGGTCATGGTGGAATCTACGGCAGTTGATGGGGGAGTTCTAGGAAACCAGGTTCGACACAGATCAGTGAGCTGGGTCTCAAGGAAGTTAAACGAACAAGAGATCACACTGTGCGGACAATAGGGAGCTCGCCTCCCAGCAAAAACCTTGCCAGCTGGTCGTGTGCTGCTTCATCTCCTGTCGAATGCGAAAGCGGTCGAACAGAACAATTGGTCGAGGTCGAGGACTGGGAAACCAGTTTGGAATGGACCAGCACAGTGGGACATGTCGAGGTCCTGTTTGGCCAAAGTTGAAATCAAAGTCATGAAGCATACAAGGGTCCATCAGAGGCCATCGAAGTTGTGAGCGTCGCATCAGGGCAAAATCGATCCTGGAGGCATGTGTTCCATGGTGAAAGGTGGCATGAAACTTATCTCGGCAGTGTATGGCGGTCAAATCGAACTCCTGCGCCATTTGGGCAAACAAAAGCTTGTCTTTCTGAGCCGCCTGGGGATAGCGAGGGTCACTCGTGTGCACCGGGTGGGAATGTGGGACAATGGTGTATTGAAGTCACCACAAACAATGACTGGGGGAGATGTGCCAGACATTGGCGAAGCGTAGTCCAAACCGGTCGTCTCTTAGAGACAGTCTGACGTACTCCATGCTGTGTGGTCCAGGCCTGTTGAGGGATGGCCACGACGTCCACTGGCCTATGGCGTACCTGAAGCAGGCGCCCAGGGACCTGAGTGGCCACCGAGATTTGTTCCCTGCGCACTATGGCAGATCTGAGCATGAACAAAATCGAAGCAAAACGATCTGCGGTGTGGATCAGGTGCCATCGTGGGCTGCTCCACTCACTGGTCATTGACCATCCGGTTTCCTGGACGACAACGAGATCGAACGGGGATGTGTCACACCAATGAACCCATGTTTGATAGTCAAGGGATCTTGATGCATTCCATTGGAAGGCACGAAGGTGTCCAGGTGGTCGAAGGGGCAAAGCTGGAACTGAGGTCTTGCATGGCTTAGGAACAGGTTGTTTACTCTGTATGATCTGTTTGATTCTAGACGGGACCTGATGAGGGTACAGAGGTCGACCCTTGAATGTTGCAAAGCCTTCTCTAAGAGATTGAGCACATGCACGGGTATATGATCTCTTGAGACGATTGCATCGTGAGCGTGACTGAATGTGGCCTAAGCCTGTCAGTGCCCACGCCTCATGCACTTTCACAGTAGGGCAGCTGTGGAATGTGGTGTCCAGGCTGCTTCTTCTTATCCCTGAGGCTGGATGAGGAACCCTCACGCCCGGCATGGGAAGATCGAGCGAAGCGAAATCGTGTGAACCCATGCCGCCTGGACTTGGGACCAGGCTTTGCAGACCGATCGTGAGCAAAAGTGGAAGGAGCCGGCAAACGCACAAATGCATTGGTCTCATCAAGCTAACAGGACATGGCGCAAAAGATGAAAAAAGAAAAACGCCCGACGCTCCGTCTTTGATCTGCAAATGGCGCTTTTAATATATCCTTGTTTAATATTAAATATTAGGTATTTAAAAACTATCCTAAATATACCGAATAAAAACATACTATCCTCGAGCTCTATGGCATCATTTTTAACACCTGTGGAACCAATGTACACAGGTGTTGGTGTCAATGTTGCGCTCACAAGAACACCTCTCGACGGGGCTCCAATGCTTGTACTATGCGGATTTTGAAGTGCAACGATTGTGGTAAGACTTTATGACTTTGGAGAATGAGAAAGTCAACATGGAGATAGACCCTGGCAAGAAGACAAGACCATGTGAACACACAGAAAAAGGTTGGCGTGGCACGACAGGGGCCACGTAGCAATGGAAGTGCAAGAGCTGCGGACACATGGAGGAGAAGGGCCATCGTTCTGAGAAGAGGCACTACATCGAGGACCATACCTTCTACCAGTTCGGGCTACGGTGAGGCTGATGCCGTCGTTAATCTCTTCAACCTCTCAAAAGGAGCTGGGAGGTTAATTGACGGGGGTAGTTGTGGCTGTCGATGTGGTGGGTGCGGTGGCGGTTGCCAAACGGCCGTACACCTGTTGAACTCAAAACCTGGGTGCGTTTGTTGGGTGTAAGCCCCTTAAATCCCTTAGCGGGAGCACAAGGCCGAGGGGGCAGTCGTGGCATAATCAAAAACGGACAGCGACAACAACCCTTATAGCATCGCCGGTTTGCGAAGCTCTATATACAATTGTTATATTCTGCGAAACTTTTACCCATAAGTTATATTTGCGAAAATTCTATCGATCGATTGCTCAATCTCAACTAAGCTCATTCATGTGGATAAATTTGTTCAGGTTGTCTGCTTCCACCCATCACTACAGCTGTCAAGACTACTACTTTATGAATACCACTACTATTGCCACCACAGCCAGTTACATAAGAGTTCATATCAGTTATATGGACTGTATGTGATGCTCTATCTTTCTTGCCTTTCTTCAAGCAAACTCTTGAACACTCTTCTAGCTCTTTTATACACCTGCGACGCTCATACATGAGAAATTCTCCACTAGACACTGCGGCAATCCTAAGAGGCATACATAAGTATTCGCCTTGCGCTGATTGTGCGACTGGCCCTGGGCATCTGCCTCTTCATGTCAAACAAGGTCTAGCAGCAATATGGAAGCGATGACATCAAGGCCGCCTTGTGCCATGTTTCTTCCCACACTTTGATCCATAGCGCCTGGGAAGAGGTGATATGGTGGCCTCTGTGCAACTAACGTGCATATTGCAGCACTGTTCGTTGTGATGATGTGGCAAAGACCAATTGAGTTGATAGCCTTTAGAATCTTACCAGCTCGTGTCTACCCTCTCGAGAATGCAGGTTTCTTGCTTCTCCTGCTTTGACTCGAAGCTGGCTTTCTCAGCTCTCTTGTCCTCGTTGGCTTTCTCAGGATCCAGTGCCGCTTCTTGGCGCAGGTCTTTTGAGGCTTCAGGAGTCTCTTCTTCCTAGAGCAACATGAGGAAGGTGAATGAAGGAGTTAGGTCTTCATCACGAAGGGCCGCATTGCAAGGCCTTCATCTTGATCTCAAACAAACCAGTTGATGCTGAATGAGAGTTGGCCCTGTGCGCATTGATCTCCTCGCATCCAAATATAATCGGCACAAGTCAAGAAAGCAATCATCTATTAGCATGGAATTGGCCACGCCAGTGAACATCCTCGATCCTTAACTCTTACAGTAAGAACCGCTAGTATGTCCGCGCTGTTTCACACACTCATATAACACCCTTGAAACCACTGCTGCAACAAGTCGGACAATTTGCCAAAGACTGTTGACATCTTTTGTCATAGCAAGTCTCCCGGAGCCACAAGGAACTTTTCCCAATAACAAGGAAGCTAGTTAAGTTCCTTGGGTTGAACCTTTTGTTATCCTTAGCGCTCCCATTGAGTAGACTGATCGCAGAGTATGCCCTGAAGATTCAAGTGTTGTTCAGCAGGTGTCCACCAACGTGTGATGTGATATTGGCACCTTTATTGTGCCAAGTGGCTGATTCGCGAACATGCACCGAGTGGCTGATTTAGGTTGAGTTTTCCTTTCGGGTTTTGTCCCAATGCACCATCGGCGCGGCTTTTTGTCTTTTCGGATGTGTCCCAATGTGAGCCAAGTCCGAAGGCTTTCAATATCTTTGAACAATGGTTCTTCAAAGATTTGTCCACATGATTGGCTGAAAGAGATCGTGGCAAAATACAAGGTTGAAGCCGTGCTTGCCGCGTGCCCTTCATACAAAAGCAAGTTGTGTGATTTTTGATGGGGTTGACAGTGGGTGGGCCGGCAGTATGGAAGTTAATTAACGCTAGTGAACAAATGCGTAACTAACGCTATTGCTGCTCAAAGAAACCCTCACTATTTTCTGCCCTGTCTTTGGTGGAACTTATCAAGCGTGCCACACACTGTATACATCTAGATCCTCATGGCAGCCGCGACATCAGCCGACATAGGTTGTATGAACATATTGTGGTTCGGTTAAAGTCTTTTAATCTGCGGCTCCTCTCCACTGACGGTTTGCCTCAGTAATTCAATCACAAAAACATTGGAATAGGTTCCCGAGAAAAGATTCAAAAAACATGCAAATAAGAAAGGATGGTAAGGCGTAAGGCCCCATCAAAAGAGGCCTTGCCTTCCTTCATCTCATTTCTCCCCAGATAGCGATAGCTATGGGGTTCTTACTTCAAATAAAGACGAACTGCCTGCGCGTGCTTTCGAGACACGCTGCCGGTGCTTGGTGTCGGTCGGCTGTGCGCGCTGTCGAGACAGGGTCCATACTGGTGCTGGTGCCAGAGCTGTGAGCTGGCAGCGCACTGTCGCTAGAGGGTGTATTATATGTATGGTGTGGTTCTGGTGCTGGTGTCAGCAGCTGGCTATAGGCACTTTGGAGACAAGGTGTCGGTGCTGTGCTCATTGCCGAAACAGGGTGTCGGTGCTATATAGGTGCTTGCGCCGTTGCTGTGAGCTGGCCGCGCGCACATTAAAAAAAAACAGGGTGTCGGTGCTGGGTGCCTCTAAAGCCTGGGAACTGCACTGCTCTCGCACATATTCTTTTTGTACGCGTATGTGTATATATATATATACAGTTCGCTGCTTACACACAATTTTTTGGTACGCACATACATGTTCGTGCAACATCATATTGTTTTGACCGGGCAATACATATGAAGCAGCATCTTTAGTTGGAAGAGTGAGCCTGACCAAAAGGTTGCCCGAGAACGTGGGAACCTCCAGAGTAGTGCCGTGTGCCGTGTTTCGAAAGGTCTGCTCTCTTGCGCGTGGTGCTTGTGAATAGGAACTGTACTGTGTGTCTGTGTCCACCTCTGCAACTAAGAGTTTCTGTTTTTCTCAACTTTTAAGTCGCAGGGGGCGTGACGGTCGATTTCCTAGTCACGCCAACGAAGCTAGGGAAATCGACTGGATGGAAGTTTGGACGCAAACTTCTGTGCCTGCGCGGATGAAAACTTTTGCACACGCTGTGACTCCACTTTTCCCTTTGTTGTTTCCATGGTGGTTGTTCGCATGATATCCCCCAAAACAGGTTTCCTTAGCTTTGGTAAAGTGCTAGTGCGTTTGTTAAACAGTTCTGTTCTTCGGACCCTTGCGCCTTACCGTTCTTGCAGTAAAGGGCTAATGCAGTAACTAGCTTCCACAGTCAAGTGAACAACTCCTTTGTTAAAACACCTTCAAGTGCTCCGACTCTTTCACCTTTCGGTTCCATCACCATTTTTCCTGGGAATTGAGTTAACTGCAAACCAATGTCAGAGTGTGACTCGCTCAGTCGTCCCACTTGGGTGCTGGGTGTGAAATCGTGTAACTGACTCCACCGTTCTCCACCTCTCTTTGGATTTTCTTAACCGCTTTAGTTTCACTACTGGATTTACTGAATTTGATGCCGTCGGGCTTACGAAATACCTCCACTTGCATCTCCACTTGCATTTCCATGTGCTGCATTTCCATGTGAGGAATTGAGACCCGTGAAGCTACTGTCCACACTTGCACTTCCACACCCCCCCCACCTTGCACCTAATTCGTGTTTCTATCCCACCCGCTATCCAGGGTAACAGAAGGAAATGGTACTCGACACACTTGTGTGTCGGTACCTTTCCTTCTGTTTCTCCTTTTCTACTCCTAGCTACCCGGGCGGTTTGAGACGTATGTCCCGCTCGCCAACTACTGCAGTTAATTCATTCGGCTAAGTAGTCAGTATCTAGCAGGTTTCGTAACTAGTGGGCCTTGTCACTACACCTATCTTTCTCTCTTTCCTTTGCGTTTTCCTTTCTGTCTTTCTTTCCTTTCGTTCTAAGGCTTTTAGGTGATTAGTAAGTTCCCCCAGAGCGCCGATATCGGCGTTCTGTGTGTGTCCACTTCTGTAACTAAGAGTTTCTGTTTTTCTCAACTTTTAAGTCGCAGGGGGCGTGACGGTCGATTTCCTAGATGGAAGTTTGGACGCAAACTTCTGTACCTGCGCGGATGAAAACTTTTGCACACGCTGTGACTCCACTTTTCCTTTTGTTGTTTCCATGGTGGTTGTTCGCATGATATCCCCCAAAACAGGTTTCCTTAGCTTTGGTAAAGTGCTAGTGCGTTTGTTAAACAGTTCTGTTCTTCGGACCCTTGCACCTTACCGTTCTTGCAGTAAAGGGCTAATGCAGTAACTAGCTTCCGCAGTCAAGTGAACAACTCCTTTGTTAAAACACCTTCAAGTGCTCCGACTCTTGCACCTTTCGGTTCCATCGCCATTTTTCCTGGGAATTGAGTTAACTGCAAGCCAATGTCAGAGTGTGCACATATTTTTGTATATGTCGGCGCAGCCCAATCCGCACCATGACATTCCAATCCTTTGTTTCCATGTCATGGCGGAGCATGTTGCCATGGTCGGGGGTGTCGGGTTTGGGGCTATAATTTAGGGTTGGGAAGTGTCGCCAGGGTCTAAAGCTGGCACTCTCTGTATCCAAAGTGCGACCCTGAGACCACCTGCGATCTGGAGCTTGCTGTTGAGGTCCAGGAGTGCCCACTGTGATCTGGCCTTTGCCGTTGTGAGGCAAGGAGGACGAGGACGAGGACAATGATAAGGAGTTGCGGCGCCTCTCTTGAAAGTCTAAAAGCCATCACCTGACACGTGGGGAAATACATGAAATATCGGGGTCTGTAAAATCATCTCCAGGATTGTGTTCTCGAAACACCCGCTTGCCAAGATCGAAGCACCCGCGCGCACGAGCTTAGATATTCAACGGTATTCCAAGTATCCAAATTGATCCGCTTGGGAATATTCCAAGTACCTTAACTTTTGGTCAATTCAGGGCACTTAGATATATGTGTACGTGCGACATCCTGTTGTACTGTTTGCGCGTCACATCCACTTCTTTTCATCGCGGTAACGCCTATATATGCTGGAACAGCACCTTTTATTTTGGGCATTGCGGTCACTGGAAGCTCTCATGGATTCTTTGGGACTTAATTGCTCTATTTTTCTTGTCTCAGGTGCTTCTGCTTTTAGAATTTTAGAGTTAGTTGCTATCTGGGGTCTATGCCGGTGTAACTACTGTATAGTTTTGGTTTCATTTCTGAAGCGGAGAGAGAGGGGGAGAGAGAGAGAGAGAGAGAGCGCGTTCGCCACTATTGGAGAGCGGAGTCGGTGGTTTGATTCGTTGCAGCCAGGACTCTTTGCACCATGGAGCTGGAGCATGCCTGCGTTAGCAAGGAGTCTAAACACGTCTCTTGGAGTGACCAAAACGGTTTGAGCTCGCCAAGTTCTAGTTCCAAGAACCTATCATACAAGTATCATGAAGTATCTATTCCAAACTATGGAGTGCTTGTAATGCAAACAGTGAGGACAAAACAGCTCTAAAGTCTCAAAGTGCAGTCTTGCTACGATGCACTTCACCAACCACTTGGGAACCATCTGCAATTTGTCCCTGGCAATGTGCGGACTGGGGAGCAGCCACAGCATCTGAGGAATTGACTCTGTTTTTTCGACTTGTCGAAACATATATGAATTTGACAGGCTGAGAGGACACGTGTTTGTACTTGTAAATCCTTTATGTCCAGAAATCAGCTTTGGAGTGAATACTTCCTAGCAGGCGACTGAGTGCGGTTCTTCGCGAATTGAGTCCGACTTAGACAGTACATGAAAGTACAATCTGCCGGTGACTCTAACGTGTTGGAAAGTACAAGCACAATTGCTACTAGTAGCTTCTTGCTGCTTTTCTAGTAGCGATGGCCTCCAACCTACTAGCTTCTTGCCTCAAATGCCGGTGACCCGAAGGAGTCATAGTTCTGGCCTTGGAGGCTGCAATCAAGGCTCTCAGCAGTGCACATCCGAGCAAATCACCTGCTGCATTTGCCTCAAGCTGATGGTGCAAGCGTGCAAACTTTTGCACTCCCACGACCACCCACACAAGTCGAAGAATCCCTTAATTCACGTTCGTGCAAACGCCTGAATGTCTGTCTCCTGCAGCTTCTTGATTCGGCCAGCCTTTCCGCGACTGCAAATGGCTTTGTGAGACTGTGTGTGTTGCTTGCCTCTGCAAAATCCTCTGCCAACACCGCTTGCTTCTTGACAACTTCCAAGCTGAAGCGCGACAATTGAGTATCATATCACTGTTTACCACCAGCAAAGAAACGAACACGCAGCCGCGCAGCCATGAACATGACTGAATCCGCACGAATCTATGAACTGGCAAGTGATCAATCAAGAGGGAGCTATGAAACATTCCTGCAGCTGAGATACTCCTCGCAGCTACTGGCTGGGACAAAGGTTGCAGCCTTTTGTGGTGAACTTTTGCGCAAATGCTCAAGTGTCCAGTGGTGTCCAGTGCAGTCTGGCTCCATCTCAAGCTAGAATACAAGCCAATCACATCCTTCTGACAATGGTCTAACCCCAGCCGACGATCTTCCACGGGCCCGGGCCTCTTCCTTTGCCACTGCAATTTCTTTACCAAGTTCCGCTTCTGACTTCTTCAGCCGTGCAGCTTCAGCAAAGTCCTCCAGTCAGGATGAGTTTAACAGGAATTCTGAAAAATGAATGCTGCATCTCAACGATTACCCTGATGCATTTGATCTCTAGCTTGTTCAATGGATGCTCATTACATCTTACAATGTGCGAAAGCAACTTGAATCCTGTGGCCGACAAATCTAAGGAGTCGTTGCTCTTGACCGTTCTGAAAAGTAACAAGAAACTATTAAAATAGCTTCTTTGTTACTACTAGTAAGGCACCTGTTACTACTAGCGTGGCACTTGTTACTAGTAACAATGTTTGCGTCTTCTTCCGACCTCCGATGACACCGCTCTCTTCTTCCGAACTTTTAGTCGCGCGCATTCCAGCCTGGCTTTACGCTGGAAAGGTCAGAAGGATTTTGATGTTGAACAAACATATTATGAACATACACAGTGCACATGCAACCCTTCCAGCAAGCGACAGGAGCTCACATAGCCGAGAAAAGGCTGCCGCATCCATCAGATTACATGCCACAAGAGCAAAAGTGTCTTGACACTTGCTCCTTGATTCCCTTCACTTTCTTCGTCTTGCAACGAATTGAATGCACTTGGTAAGATATAGTTCAAAAACATACTAAAACACAATTCTATACAACTCTACTTATTCCATGCTACCTGTTGGTGCACTGGATGATGCGGGGCATGCGTATTGCGACTTGAGCTTGCAAGCAATATGACGACAGTTCAAGGAATT